ACACATACACACACACTACCATCACCACTAACACCGCCAGCACTGCCACCATCAGCACCACCATGCCACAATTTCAGAGGTGTCTTCCTCCAGAAATCTCTCCCAGAGATTTTTTTATTTGGTCCAATCTGAAGTTGTTGACTGTAGGAATGACTGTCCTGGGAATGCCTAACTTTTGTTCAACTTTGTAACCAAGTTAATCATGTGCTTTGAGATAATTTAACATTATGTATTCAATATGTTTTCCTACTGTATAATCAGTTTGGTTAAATTTAACTAGCCTTTAAGAAAACAATGTAAGCAGTCTAACAGGACTTTGGACTCACTATGTAATCAACTTTTACAAGCTAAGCTGAACACATAGCTTTAGTCTTAAGCTGTGTTCCCTATTTCTCCCTGGCAACCTTTCCTCACCCCTGACCCAGAATAATATGTTGAATGTGTGCTAGTATCATTGTTGAAAGTAGCAACACTGGAAGCAAGAAATACCCACAATAAATGTTGCAAGCAACATGTGGACAAAGGCCAATAACATCTGTTTGTGGTTTTATATGCTGTTCAGTGTCATAGAGGTCAGAAAAGTCAACTTCTTCCCTTGTAAAGCTCTGGTTAAAGGTTCTTTAAGACAAAGTTCCTTATTCTTTTCCCATCTCATGCTTGATGTACTGTTCAATAAATAGGACATCCCTTGTTCAAAGGATGAACAGTTCTGAGAGAAATCAGAATACTTTAGAATAGATTAGATTCATTCTTGATTAAATAAGTGCAGGAGTTAGTCTTTAGAGCAACACTGCCACAGGCCTGTTTATCTGACAAATAACTGCAATTCTGGGATGACAATTTATCCTTAGTCTGGAGAACCTCTTAACTTCTCTTATGTGTGGAATCTCATTTTTCTTTTTCACAAAACATTTAGTTTTTTTTTTTTTAAATTTTATGTGTATGAGTGTATTGCCTGCATGTGTGCAAGCACGCCCATGTCATACAATGCCCAAGGAAATCAGAAGATCACGTGAGATCCCCTGGGACTGAATCATATGGTATAATCTGTTTCTAGATTTTTGGAGAAAACAGACAAATTTCCAGAGTGGATGCATTACTTTACACTACTACCAATTAATTTACAATGAGTGTATAAGGGTTCCCTTTTCCTCACACCCAGGCCAACATTCATGCCATTTGTATTCCTGATGATGGTCATTCTGATTGAGGTGAGATAGAATTTTTAAAT